TAACAAGAGTCGGTTGGTAGAACAATGATGGGGGCCAATCCTGCGGAAGAAATAGCAACTTGTCTCCTGATATCCCCTCAAAGGCAGCCTGTCTGTAGACCTGCCCCATCGCCAACACCAAAACAGGCTTAGTGAGCTGATTGTCACCCGCTTGAAAAGCGGTGTTGGTTGTCCCCAACGGTGCATCGGCGGCTAGCTCACGCCAAATCCTTACAAACAATCAGGGGTCCTGCCCACATCACGAGTCCAGATTGGCCGGCTCGCATCAATCCTTGTAAGCCCCGCCCAAACCAATCAAAGTTGGCACGCGTGGATCTCTCTGCCATCGTGTGTTGTCTTTTGTGTCCCGCCCGAGTCCGAGCAAGTTCTCCTCTTCCCGCAACCTTTTCGCGCAACATTCGCCAATCAAGCCCCTAGCGAGTCTCGCGCCAGGCAAAAAACCACACCCAGAAAGCTCGGACTCTGGATACGCTTGCAGAAAAGTCCGAGCCTGACCTTTGTTTCAAATGCGGAAGAGCCTGGGTTGATGAAAAGAAACAAAAAAAAGTATGGCCCGCAAGGGGAACCGGAAAGTCAGGACTGGGTGCATCACCTGCAAGTAAGTACGACAGGACCCCGCCGGTAGGAGAAACAAAAAGAACCGTGCCATGCTCGTCTCTCTTTTGCCAAGTGCAACCGTCTGACAAGATAGATAGGGCCCGGAAAGTCAAGTGTGACGAAGGCAAGCCGTCGTGCGTTCGCTGCATCAAGACAGGTCGAGTCTGCGATGGATACCTACTGAAGATCGATGTGCGAGACCCCGTTGGATCGCGTGATTCGACTACACTCACCCTGCACCGGCCACACCATGTCTTCCCTGGAGCGAACTCATCAAGTGAAGGCCATGCGCTGCAGTTCTTTTGCGAGACAGCGGGTCCGTTGATGTCCGGCACCGCGGATCCCTACTTCTGGACCAATATTGTGTTACAGTTCAGCGCTTTCGAGCCGGCTGTGCGACACGCAGTTATCTCAATTAGCGATCTATTTCAACAATCTTATTATACGCCCGAGTCTAATGCGAAGATACGTTTCGACGACCAGACAATAGCTCTGAAGCACTACAACAACGCCATTCACGGGCTCAAAGAAATCAAATCAGAGCATAAAGAATCCGTCGTACTTCTCGTATGCGTATTATTCGTCTGTATAGAGTTCATACGCGGGGACAGAGAGGCGGCATTAAGGCACTGTACGCATGGCGTTGAAATCTTGAAGACCTCGCCCCAGCATGCTTGGACTCAACAACATCTTTTACCCATTTTTCGACGACTTAACGAATTTGCTTTCTTCTTCAGCGATGAGAATTCCGAATTTTCCGATATTTCAGACTTGGCGGGACCGATACCAACCACCTTTTCAACCTTCTCCGAAGCACAAGAGATGCTCGACGGAATCTTCAACCACACAACAAGAATTATGCGTTCAAGCCGGAAGTCCCATTCACTACCGAAAACTGCGTCTGGCATGTTTGAGCCCCAAAAGAAAATTTCTGTCTTTTCTCAATACTTTACCGACAAATCTACGATCAGCCGATTGTTGAATACATGGCTGAAGCTGTTCAGCGAGTTCGACCCAAAGATGACAGAGCTGGATGCCTTGGCTGCCAAACACTGCAAATACGGCGCGGAGTACGGGCTCAAGATGTATCGTTGCTTCTTGTTGACCCGCTACGAGTGCTGCCGGATATGGCTCAACATTGCTTTTGATGATCCCAAGTCAGGCTATGAGAGATCGGTGGACAACTTTGACCGAGTGCTCAAGCAACTATCATGGTTGGAGTCACAGATACCACACGAAGGGCCTTTCTCGGACCCAGTATCGCCTCCATTCGTATTCGAGACCGGCTTCGGGGCAAACCTGTTCTTTCTAGTGACAACCTGTTGCGATCTCGAGATGAGGCTGGAGCTCATCAGATTAATGTCGATTTTCGCACTGCCCAGAGAGAATCTTTGGGAAAAGGATGTGCTCATTGCGGCGGCGAAGAAGATTATCGAGGTGGAGCATGGAACCAAGTTCAAAGACCTCGTACAGTCTCCAACCGCGCCCTCGTACTCAGAGGGGACCCCGACTGAAGATGAAGACGAAGATGCAGAAGCAGAAGAGGAGGAACCCAATTTTGGAACGCCCGAGATTTGGACGGAGCAGGGAGAGTCGCAGGACGGTTCAGGCACGGGTGAAGAAGATGGAGCTCATAAGTCTGGTAAGGTTCTCCGGCGTGATAACCTGGCACTTTTCGGCTCATACCTCCTGATTCTAAATCCGTTCATGAGTGGGAAGATTGGATCATGATACCCCGCTGCAGAGCAAAGCAATAAAGTCAAATTTGAAACTTCCGGCATGAAACGACGCTTGCCTTAGTAGATATGAAGAGCCCTATTCATTTGGCAGGTCAACAATTGGACTCAACACCATCCATATTTGCTCGTTCCTTGAAAACATATCCCGACATAAACAACTCAATTGTGCACTCATTGCCTTCCCGAACTCCTGGTATGTCATATTGGTCGTCTAGACAATTCTATATGGTCGTTGAATTATCATCATAATGCCCGGAAATTCCCTCGTCATATGCGTGTCCACATGCCTCCCTCTATGTTCTGTCATTATTTCTTTAACATCCCGCTGGCAAATTGATTCATCAGCAACCCTCCAATTGTTGCCCCGACTGCATCCTTCTTACCATAGTCTTTTGGGTTGTTGTCCTTGAACGCCGCGATGGCACCTGCGCCTGCCGCGGCCGTCGCCATCCTCATACCCTTCTTCTGCCATGATGACTTGTCCTTCCTCATCCGCCACGCCTCAGCAGCACCAGCAACGACGGCAGCGCTTGCGGCAGCCTGTATGATATGCGCCTTGTCCGATTCTCGTCTCTGCAATCTAGACCGCGAGGTCGATGCAGCGGAGACCTTGCTGTCTTTCCGGCGACTACTACCGTTGCCCCGACCACGGCTTCTGTTGCGTCGTCGACGCCGATCATCTTCGCTGTCAGAGTAGTCATCGTACGAGTCGTAGCTGTCGTTCCGGCGACGAGGTGGCCTCTGGTCAAGCGAGCGGGCGCGGGTCTTCGGTCGGACAGGGCTGATTTCATCGTCGTAGGTGCGGCCGCGGCGGCGGTGCGAGCGCCCCGCCTCGGCGGAGTCTAGCTCATGTGCGCTCCGCGACACACGGCGTGATGCACGCGGGCGCTCGTAGGAGTAGTCGTCGTAGTAGGGGTCGTCGTCCTCATAGGTCGCGCGGTCGCGGTGGTGACGATCCGAGTTCCGTGACGGCATGGCTGATTCGCGAGAGCGGACCGCGGCGTCGAGCGGTCCACGTGGGAGTGAAAGGAGAGGGGATGTGCCAAGTCTCGTGAGGAGACCGGAAGCGGAAAGGCTGCACGATCGATAGGCAGGACTAGCGATGAGCCCGTTTTGCTTGGTCCTCGTAGTTCAGGGGAGTGACGTCTCGACTTTTTGCATCAAAGAATCAGTGTCCGATCGGATCGCAGGGGAGCGGGGAAAGACACGATTGTGCGACAATGAAGTGCTTGGTCATGAGAGATGGAAATGGATGATGAGGAGATCGTTCAATTTCTGCGTGAAAAGGAAGAACTAGGCTGTCTACATGAGAGAATGAGCGTTAGTTCGCTTTGATAAGGCATTTTGCATGGAAAGCACCAAGAGCTTAGGCAACTTTGAGCTGGCAATGGGTACCCGTCTCGGCAAGATTAAACTTGCTTATTCTCAGAGAAGGGTGATGTAAACGGGTGCAGATCGCTTCCATTTCGAGACAAAGCTGAGGCGTGCTGGGGCGATGGCAAACGTCAATATGATGCGGCCCGCTCACCCGCCCTACGCAAGAATCAGTCGAAACACGGAATGATGTCACACCGAACTCAATGCCGGGGACTATCTCGGTGAGAGCTGCTGAGGTCGGTGTGCTGACTCAAGTGGAGGAGCTCACCGAGATAAGTCAGGGGTTGGAGCTCGATCTGCCGATCCAGACAGGTCCGGACATCATGACTCCGAGCCATTGTCCAATCGGGTCTTAGCCCCTGGATCAGGGACGATCGCTGATTGAGATTCAAAGGGCTGAAGTTGGGAACAAGGGGTATGCATTTTCGGCTTGGTCGCTGGGTCAATCTGGCGATGCTTGTCTGAATGTGGCGCCGCTAGCGGCAGCGGCTTTGGGCATCGCGGGGACGGGACCCATTCACTGACAGCTGCAACGGGGCTGGAGGGACTGAGCGCGGGCGCGTTGATGCGCGTTTCTTCGCGTAAATGACAGCGTCATAGACTGGTTGCGCCGACGATGATATCAATGATTTGGTTGATGGTGTTTTCAACTCAATGCAGTAAGGCTAGCATGCTGATATCACAGCTGGATTCTGTATATGAAGGGAAGGGAAGTCCTCCAAGGTTGGATCTAGCATCTACATTATCAAACAAACAACATCCTTCACACCTTATCACAACTCAAACTCAAATACTCAAATCTTATTCATCATAAATCATGTCTTCCAACGAGGCCCCCACCGGTGACGTCCAGGACAACGAGTACGTCTCCCGCCAACCCCAGCGCGGCGAGCCCATCAGAGTCCAGGCCGATGATGCCAAGGTTGAGGACCCCATTGACCCTCAAACCGCCGACTCAGATCAGCAATTGGGTAAGTTTGCCTATTCCGATGCTACCAGCCCTGATTGACCGGTATCAGAGCGTGATGATAAGGAGGCCATTGACAAGGACAACATCATCGACGAGCGCACTCGCTCTGCGAAGCCGTCTGGCACTTACCGTGAGCCCGGCGATACCGAGGGTTTGGAGCGTGAGAGGCTCGAGTAGGAATGATACCAAACTGTATTATTAGCAAAGCGTTGAAACGAATGCGCTGAATTTAACTGGAGATTACGATTGAGTCTTGTTTCCAACTGTATGTGACTATCATCGCACTGAACTATTTTAAAACCATATGCCACGTGCGATTAGTCCACAGGGCCAGACAGCCACTTCGTGCTGATCTTCTTATAACGGATCACTTCGTTGTCATCCTCGTCGTATGATCTTTCAGCAACGATTTTGTAACCGCCAAAAGCAGGCCAAATCTTGGTCCAGCACACCCAGTAGACACCTCCAAGGAGAATAACACCAACGCCGACGATAGGGAAGACGTAGTACGGGTACCCGTCTGCGTTCCACGATCCATTGGGCGGGATGAACGGAACGATGCAGAGGAAGAAGTTGACCAAGATGTAGAGGATGGTGATGGGTGCGTGCGTGTGCCATGGCGAGCTCCAGTTCTCCTTCTTGTTCCACTGTAAGTAGAGAAGACCGCTGTGTACATGTCAGTAGATGTCTCGAAACGGATTGGGTAGTCAACGCACATTCCGACAAACCCGTTGATCCATGCTCCCGGGTACCTGTAAAAATGTTAGCCTCTAGCTCTATATCCTGAATGGGACAACATGGGACCCACGTGTACAGGTCTACAATTAGACCATAAGCTCCAGAAGAAGCGGGCGGTGCGACCAAAATGATCACCGTCACAAGCCAATGCAGGAAAAGCTTCAACAAAGTCAGCAAATAACTTGAACCACAACCTCAATAGGGAACGTACTGAAGCCGCAGGAGCGTTGAAAGGCTTGTTGGAGGCCCAGAACCGACTGAGCGGCAGCAAACCCTCCTTACCAAACTCCTGGTTAACTCGAGCATGGGCAAAGCTGACCGCAAGAACGTTGCCGATGTTGCTGAGGGCGACGAAGGCAGGAAGAGCACGTGCTCCAGCACTGTTCCCAAAGACATTACGGAAGAACACACCCGCGACGATCACGTCGGAATTGGCCAGCTCAGTCTTTGGGATCGCGGCAAAGTAGGCCACTGAAACAGTCAGAATCTTCCACGATGAGAGTACTCCCTTGTCAACATACCGTTAGCGAGGACATAGAGAATTGTGACGCCCCCAACGGCCAGGGGAGCAGCAATAGCAAGCGTCTTGCGAGGGTTCTTCAGCTCGCCAACGACGTAGTTGGCATTCTCCCATCCCTTGTAACTGTAGACAATACGCAGCAAGGCAGTTGCGTATCCGTAGACGCCGCCGTTGCCGTATCCGTCGCCATCTTCAATACGGAACGCATTGTCAAAGTTGTGCGGGTCGGGTACGCGGCGTCGGCCGGCAAGTGCAGCAAATCCGGAGAAGACGATGAAGAGCAGGACTCCAACCTTGAAGATGCCCAGGACGTTGAAAAGCCGAACACCCCACTTCGGCGCAACAGCGTGAATTCCGACGGCGAAAGTCACGCCTGCAATACCGATGCCGCGAGCGATCCAGCCATCCGGAGCCTCAGATCCAGAAGCGAAAAGAATGTATCGGCCGAATGCGAGGGCGTTACCGGTGGAAAATCCGAGCAGGATCATCTGCGATGCGAGCACGCAGGTAGCGAGGTATTTGGGATGCCTGTAGACACGTTCGAGGTAGTTCTTCTCGCCTCCAGAGCGGGGGATCGCGAGGCCGAACTCGAGGAAGACGGATAGACCGCAGAAGGTGAGGATGCCGCCGATGACCCAGAGCATCAGACTCACACCCACAGATCCCGTCGATTGGAAGATGCCGGATGGGGTTGAGAAGACTGGAGAGGATCGATCAGTTTTGTTAGCAGTCTGATTGAACTTTGTGACTCACTTCCCGTGCCGATCATCTTGTTAAGAATCAGGAAGACAGCACCCGTGACACCAATCTTCCTTGACTCAGAGTAGGCGAACGTCTGCTGGTCCTTGACGACACCGACCTCTGTCGAGTTATCATCCCGCTGTACATCGTGCCGACTCTCACCAACATGGTGGTCGTGCTTGAGCGGTCCGCTCATCTCGTCGTCCCGTCGAGAGATGTCAATCGTCTGAAGATGCCAAGATCGACTCGTGGGGATGCGAGAAGAAGCTTCCTCGAGGGGGGTCCGGACAGATAAAGTTTTGAGCTGAGGCAGGGAGATCGGCAAAGGTCACCGAGGGGGAGCTAGGAGCTATATATGTGCCCAGCCCTGCATCTACTTGCTGCTGCATCGCAACCCAAGACAGGCGGTGGAAGGGTTGATCTTATCCTGTGCAGACCTCCAATGCCCCGCACGTCATTGCATTGCAACGTCACGCAAGGGTACAAACGACTCGCTGCCTGCTACCGTGAGGACCATGAGGATGGGAGTAACCTTGATGATAGGCAACATAATCAGCGAGAGCTGTCCCGGGATGAGTCCCAGGAGGCTTGCGAACCCGTTCGAACTTTGATTTGACGAACTGGGTGGCAGGACGCCACAAAATAGCCTCATCGCCAACATCCATACTCCACACGGGCACCAAATTTTAAAATCATGGGTTCGGCTTTTTTCCAGAAGGATGCAGCGGCAGGGATCAGAGCTCCAGATGTGCGTCTAGGGTGTTGACGCGAGGTGGCACATGGGCTTGGGTGTGTGAGAAGAGCTGATGATTTCTCTTCAGCTGCCTCTTTGAAGCTAAATCGCCATAGATGCCGGCAAGCTCGTGAGGATGATGGCGTCCAGTGAGTTTTCATCCTCGAGGAGACAGGAATGCCAGATGGCCGTTGAATGGCCCGGTTGCAGTGAGATGAGCCAGACGGGCGACTGCGCCAAGAGGGCGTCAGCAGGCTGGGCGCCTGGGCAGCGGCGAGGACACGATAAAATTCATGAATCTGCCTGAGAAAGTCCTTCCTGTTGGGGAAGGTCACTAGGTTTAGCTTCGAGGGATGGACCGGAGGGATAGGCTTCACAGATTGTTTACGACCCAAGCCTCTTGGCGACTTCCAGGGCCCTGTAGACTTTGGAGAACCCCCGAAACATCGCAGGCAATGTGGGGTAAGACCCAGTGAGTCTTCGAGGCAGCTCACTGCATCGCCAAGAGCCCAACCAGTGAGGAAGAGGAAAGCACGAAAGATTTTCGTCGATGTCGTGCTCGCGGGGGTGTGATGGCGACACATGCCGGCTTGACTGGTGCCCCAGGCCCCTTTCAGGTTAACAAGGGCTGATCCCAGGCGTCTGCCGTATGTTTTGCGCGCTAAAATGCCTTCGATACCCGCAATTGCCAGCCGGGGACAACTCTAAATGAAGCCCTCCATTTTAGTACGCTCAGGCTCTGATACTCTCGATCAAACAGAAAATCTAATAATTCGACTACTTCTCATTACACTTTATCATTGATACCAGTCAGTCGGTCAATCCAGTCATCGCTTGGAAATGACTCAATGACTCCTCACCATTGCGATGAAACAATGCAGGGCCCCAACCTTTCCCTTCTTCTAGGCCTGGGGAATTTGTTGGTCATTCTCTAAGCATCCACTTTAAGTGACGGAGAGGGATCCGATGATGCATTGATTTCCATGCCCGGAGGTCCAGTCTCTCTTGTACTATCCTTCAAGCAGTGCCTCATGTGAGGAGGTCTTCTCTTTGCTTGTCATTATGAAGCAAAAAGCCCCAGGTACCACGTAATTTTCTTTTGGTAGTTTTGGGCCAATATTATCTGTGTCCTCTAAAGATCACATTCATAGCCCAGGCACAAGAAGATATTGTCAAGCGAAATTGTGGCATGTTTGTGTGACATGACGTCGAATCGTGGGAAATTGACTGAACGGTAAGAGACAAGTCATCAAAGGCCAGGTTAATTAGAGAGCACGAGGGTTTCGACTACCAATGGTGTCCTATTCCTAGGGTAACTGAGAAGCAATGTCTGTGTCTCTGAGACTTGAAATTCAATACCTACATCCATAACAAATCTCTCCAGTGATGTAAGAAACTATGATATCTGTGGAAATTCAAACGGAATGACTATGAGACAGGGAAGATGAGTTTTCCTACGCTGATAGCAAGAGTGTCCTGCGGACATACAAAACTTTGCCTTTGATTTTGCAACCGATTTGTGTTTGTTGCTGGAAAGGGTTGATCAGACGGAGCTAATAATGACCGTGACTCATTAGATGATTCGTATCAGATGTTTACCATTTCTGTATTCTTCACAAGGAAAACTGTGTTCATCGTCGCAGGGCCCCAGGATCTGCTCTCGGTTCTCCTCGTCAAGATGTGTAATCATGCCAATGCGACGGAATATGCCCCGACTTCGATCTTGTACCTCGAAGAGGAGGACCTTGAAACCCTGGGACTCCTCCACGGCACATGGAATGCAATAGAGTGACGAGTCAGCGTTCTGAGTTTCGAAGTCTTGGTGAAAGGTGTCCAGCTTTACGGACATAGTTCTCCGTTGATATTTCATTGTGTTGATTGTAGCTTCCCAGTCGGGTTCATTGCGCTCGTCCGTCTTCTGGCTTCGGATAAGACACAAGGGTTTTAGAGAGCCCCATAGCCGCATCCAGCCGCCTTTAAGAAGCCCAGTCTTTTCTTCAGTAACGTAATCCAGGTGGTAATCCTCGATCTCTATGAAGAACTCGGTAGGATACACCACTCGCCCAGACGAGAACACTGGACCATCTGCGGCCGCCCATGACCAGCTTGGGGCTCGGTAGGATGACTCAGAACAAGTCGAAAGTTGGGCTGAAGCTCGGGTCGACCAGAGCATTTCCTTCTTCAGAGTATGATGCCACATGCCCGCAACATATTCGTCTTTGAAGACATGTGCCATTTTTTTCGCAACGGCTGAAAGGGCAATCATTCTGTCGGCGGAGAACGAAAGTCTGCTACCGCTGTAAGTGGAGACTATGTCTTCCCAAGCGCATAGCATATGAGTATACGCAGGATCAGACTCTGATAACGTTACACGCTTGTTATCAAATTGGATGAGTTGACGTGGAGATGGATTGACTTGACAAAGGATAGTCTGTGGGACATCCTCTGGGTAGAACTCAGCCGCATTTTTCTCCCGGCACTCCCACGAAATCTGCCTTTCTCCAAAATGAAGTATTCTTCGAGAAAGTAAGCGCTCCTGAAGTACCCAGGCTCTCGAGTTGACCAGCGCGTCATGCACGTCTGTTCGCCATGTGTCTTCATCCACGATGCGGTAGACTGAAGTTTGCCCCTGTCGCTTGAGTTGGACAGTTTGCCACATGTAAGCTTCAGTTTTGCGATCATGGAAAAGAGAATGATGCGCATCAGGAGCCATCGACGCTGAGATGTTGCAAAAGGCTGCTGAGTAGACTTTATCCATGAGAGCGGATTCATGACGCCAGTCCGTCATTTTGTCTCCATCTTGAATAATGCAGAGAGAGTCTATCCACAGATATCTTACTCCCAATAGTCGTGCTACGTCTCCTGCCTCTCGGTATAGCTGTGGAAGAGTTGTGACCGACAGCCAGCTAGACAGCTCCGTTAAGTTGTCTGTAGTCAACTTCAGACAATCCGCCTGTCCCCAACAATGACTTAGCGTCATATAGGGCCCAGTAAGGTGCTCCTTGCTGGGCTGTACTAAACGGAAATGAGACCATGAAGTTTCTGGTGATCCAAAGTCTACTAGACGGGTGGGATACCAAGTTGCATTCGTCGCCGAAGCACGACACCGGGTGTGGCCTTGGACGCATTCGTCGCACCAGTTCTTAGCCTGTAGCAAGGCGTCTTTGGATGAAGTAATTTCAGCAAGGGGTCGAGGTGTGCGTGGTCCTCCATCTGCAAGAATTCTCTAGTGAGTATACGAGCTCATACGCACATCATCCGTACGGATAGGTGGGTTTGAAATTACCATTGTAAGGGTGGATGAGAAAGTCACCAATATTGCTCCATTGATATTTGGTCGCGAGCGTGCTCGACGGATAGGTCCGTTGCAAGTTAATAGAAGCAGTCATGGTCTCGAAATTCTCATAGCGATTATCCAAATGCCACCACAGCTGCATTTGGGTGACAGCATTTGAATCATGAGAGCTTTTTCCATTCTCAAGGCTTAGCTTGTCCACGCCAAGAGCTTGAGCTTGCTTTGTTAACCCGATGATATATGTCTGGTGTTCCGTGGCGAGACAAATCCAGATTCGGTTGCAAATATAGCACCCTGCCTCGACCGATGCTTTCAAAGAACTGCAAGTCAAGTGATGATCCCAGATGACTAGGGTACCGAGCTCCTCCCCCCAAACACTCTTCGGCACATTCGCCTCTATCCCATCTCGGCAGATATCGCATATCATATTGCACGTAGTAGCGATGGAGAGGCTGGATGGCGTTGAGAATCTAGGACAGACACGAAACAAAGTGTTGTGATACTGCGTCTCGAAAAATTCCAACTTAAAAACGTAAATGTCTTCGCCTCGACAGCTGCGCGACCTTGGCACAAAGCGGGGTAATATTCATCAGCAGCCCGTGACAACCAACGGCGTGCTGAGATATCCCATCGAGTGCTGCATGACGCCAGTACAAGAGTATGCGGGGTACCGCAAATCAAACATTGTTCTAGTTAATCGACACTTTTTTCCAGCGAATCAAAAGTTTCATTGAGACAAAGATTGGAGAAATTATGGCTCCTCAATGTACTGGCGTCATGCAGCACTCGATGGGGTACCGCGCGCCATAATAGACCGCATGCCCAATAAAGACGCCTGATTTAAGTTGGCTTACAAGTGTACAAGGCATAGAACATCATGGAATGAATCGCACTGAATTATAGTGAACTAGTTCTTCTATTTTACCGCTGGAATGATGCCCACAAGCCACTGGTCTACTTTTACGTCTTGTCTAGTACTTGTACTGCAACAGGGCATTGTTTGTTGACATAACCTGCTGAATAGCGATATCTGGCGCAAGACCCAACATAGGCATATTGTCGTTCAAAGTTGCCGGCCTCTCATCCACCTGACCAGTCTCCAGAATCCTGATGCCAGAGAAGTCTTGCGTGCGGCTCTCGGGCGCCTCCTGCTGCCACAACCACCAAA